ACATAAAGTCCCATATCATTGGCAAATAGTAAAATCCTGGGACATTATTAAATCTTTACCAAGTAACTAGAGGGCTGGAGACACCAAGGCACTATGAAGCTGGATTGACCAGGACACTATGAAGATGGATTTACCAAGACACTATGAAGCTGGATTGACCAGGACACTATGAAGATGGAGTGACCAGGACACTATGAAGATGGAGTGACCAGGACACTATGAAGATGGATTGACCAGGACACTATGAAGCTGAATTGTCCAAGACCTTATGAAGATAGATTGACCAAGACACAATGAAGCTGGATTGACATTGACACTATGAAGCTGGATTGACCAGAATACTAGGGGGTTAGATACTCCAAGACACTGAAGGACTGAATCCTCCAAAACACTACAGGCCAGAGTCCACAAACACTAGGGGATAGGAGATACCAAAACACTATGGAGCTGGATTGACTAGGACACTACAGGATTGGTGTTTGGTTATAGCAATGAAGATACTACAAGCTTTTAGTGTGAGGAACCATGTTAGGCTACAGAACTACATCAATGTTAGAGGTAAACAAGAAGTATAAGGCAATACACTATTACCATAAGCAAACATAGTTACAGTATTTGCATAATAACTCCAAACGGTTGGATCCATTAAAACAGTACAGAGCTAAATCCACCAAAACATTATACGAAGTCCTTCCAGATATACTGTGTAATCCACAATCATTCTGCAAAGGATGGACAAATAAATGGAATCTCTCTAATTCCCAATTCCTTACACTAAAATTGAACTTTTATTTTAATATTCCCCACTGGGCGTTTATTTCAATAAATTATATGTTTATTTATTTTTAAGAAAACAATTGCTTTGTGTTGAGGGAGTTTATAACCCCATTAAGAAATATGAAATGACACCATAATATAAATGTGGCCATGATGTCATGGTGTTTGAGTTAGACAGTACGGAGTCCCCAAGCTGCTGGTTATATGGGCCTCTCCAGCAAGTAGTTTTAGGTCGAGGAATTCCTGGCCAATGTCATCTTCACACCGGCCCTCTGGGTATTTCATGTGGTTTATACTGTGAGTGGACCTTCTGAACTCCATGTGTTTGGACATATAATTTTCTAATCTATGGCATGTGGTTTGGGGAAGGTTGTAGAGCTGGCGCTGTCAAGGAATCCAAATTCTTTCTACAGCAGCCAGATAGGACACTGGCAGAGTCTTGCGTCTGCCACATATTCCCGTCACTGTCATCACATCACACGTAGAAGGGCAGACCTGGATAGGTGAGAGGTAATTAAGTTTCTATGTCAGTTCTGTTCTGAATCCCTCTAGAGCCCAAACGACTGTCCAGTCCTTGCCAAGCTTTGAGCGGAGGTTACTGGAAGTTACATGAAGCTTTCTTGAGAATGCAAATTGCGAGATGTTACCGGCTGCCACAGCTGTAAATAAACGTGGCAGAATGTATTTAATACGGGACGTTGCTTAGCACACAGAAGCTTGCATTCATTTCAGTTAGATGCCATATGTAAGGACGTCACATGGCGTCTAAGTGCTGTGCTAGAAGATTACTTTGACAGGAAAGGAATCGGTTAAACAATGTCTGGTCCTGGATAACGATGGAGTCCGTGGAGACTCCTTCCAGTTTTGCTCACATTAATGTTGGCCACATTATGCAACGCCTGCCATTTATAACGCTTCTAATATAAGGATTGTAATGGACATTGAAGTTCACACTTTATTTTGACGTTGACCTCTCTGTAACGTGTGTCCTGATTTCACACTATTTAACACTCTACTGGCGGTTTTAGATCTCATGTAACATAACAATCAGAACACTGACTTTTGTTTCATACTCTTAAAGGAACATACTAATGGAAAAAATAAATGTAGTACAGTATTCCTTTTTAGCGTACTTTTCCCTTTTTTAATTTATTTTTTTACATGAAAAGGAATTGAAAATAAAAAAGTTAAATTTGCCAGTAATCCACACTCTGCATGAGACATGGTGAGACAGTAAATCCAGATAATCTCTAGTCCAATCCAATGGTTTTTACCGAAGCTATTGATGTGTTCAGCGCCATCATGTAGTGCGTCATATCGCCAAGAATCCAACAGCCACTAGCGGTGGGTTTCAGCTCTGACCTGAGCTCTAATCTGCGCTGATTAATTTGTGATTTCTATCAATATCTACGTAAAGATAAAAATGTAGGCCCATTTGGCCCCTTACACTGGCTGTGTAAATACTATAGGTTTGTTTTTTACCAAACATCGAGTTACTATACTTCCTAAACATCCTGATTTCAGCCCAACTGTGACGTTACGTGTTTCACAGAGCTCCACAGTACTAAATCTCACAGTAATGTGCAATGTGTATGAAATGATCACAGAGCTCCACAGCAATAAAACTCCCAGTAATGTGCAGTGTGTATGAAACTATCACAGAGCTCCACAGCAATAAAACTCACAGTAATGGGCAGTGTGTATGAGGGTATCACAGAGCTCCACAGCAATAAAAACCCCAGTAATGTGCAGTGTGTATGAATGTATCACAGAGCTCCACAGTAATAAAACTCACAGTAATGTGCAGTGTGTATGAAACTATCACAGAGCTCCCCAGTAATAAAACTCCCAGTAATGTACAGTGTGTATGAAACTATCACAGAGCTCCACAGCACTAAATCTCACGGTAATGTGCAATGTGTATGAAATGATCACAGAGCTCCACAGCAATAAAACTCCCAGTAATGTGCAGTGTGTATGAAACTATCACAGAGCTCCACAGCACTAAATCTCACGGTAATGTGCAATGTGTATGAAATGATCACAGAGCTCCACAGCAATTAACCTACCAGTAACGTGCAGTGTGTATGAAACTATCACAGAGTTCCACAGCAATAAAAACCCCAGTAATGTGCAGTGTGTATAAAACGATCGCAGAGCTCCACAGCAATAAAACTCACAGTAATGTGCACTGTGTATAAAACGATCACAGAGCTCTACAGCAATAAAACTCCCAGTAATGTGCAGTGTGTATGAGTGTATCACAGAGCTCTACAGTAATAAAACTCACAGTAATGTGCAGTGTGTATGATTGTATCACAGAGCTCCACAGTAATAAATCTCACAGTAATGTGCAGTGTGTATGGGGGTATCACAGAGCTCTACAGCAATAAAACTCCCAGTAATGTGCAGTGTGTATGAGTGTATCACAGAGCTCCACATCAATAAAACTCACAGTAATGTGCAGTGTGTATGAGTATCACAGAGCTCCACAGCAATAAAACTCACAGTAATGTGCACTGTGTATAAAACGATCACAGAGCTCTACAGCAATAAAACTCCCAGTAATGTGCAGTGTGTATGAGTGTATCACAGAGCTCTACAGTAATAAAACTCACAGTAATGTGCAGTGTGTATGATTGTATCACAGAGCTCCACAGTAATAAATCTCACAGTAATGTGCAGTGTGTATGGGGGTATCACAGAGCTCTACAGCAATAAAACTCCCAGTAATGTGCAGTGTGTATGAGTGTATCACAGAGCTCCACATCAATAAAACTCACAGTAATGTGCAGTGTGTATGAGTATCACAGAGCTCCACAGCAATAAAACTCACAGTAATGTGCAGTGTGTATGAGGGTATCACAGAGCTCCCCAGCAATAAAACTCACAGTAATGTGCAGTGTGTATGAGGGTATCACAGAGCTCCCCAGCAATAAAACTCACAGTAATGTGCAGTGTGTATGAGGGTATCACAGAGCTCCCCAGCAATAAAACTCACAGTAATGTGCAGTGTGTATGAGGGTATCACAGAGCTCCCCAGTAATAAAACACAGTAATGTGCAGTGTGTATGAATGTATCACAGAGCTCCCCAGTAATAAAACTCACAGTAATGTGCAGTGTGTATGAATGTATCACAGAGCTCCCCAGTAATAAAACTCACAGTAATGTGCAGTGTGTATGAGGGTATCACAGAGCTCCCCAGTAATAAAACTCACAGTAATGTGCAGTGTGTATGAGGGTATCACAGAGCTCCCCAGTAATAAAACACAGTAATGTGCAGTGTGTATGAATGTATCACAGAGCTCCCCAGTAATAAAACTCACAGTAATGTGCAGTGTGTATGAATGTATCACAGAGCTCCCCAGTAATAAAACTCACAGTAATGTGCAGTGTGTATGAGGGTATCACAGAGCTCCCCAGTAATAAAACTCACAGTAATGTGCAATGTGTATGAGGGTATCACAGAGCTCCACAGCAATAAAACTCACAGTAATGGGCAGTGTGTATGAGGGTATCACAGAGATCCACAGTAATAAAACTCACAGTAATGTGCAGTGTGTATGAGGGTATCGCAGAGCTCCACAGCAATAAAACATGCACTACAACAGATTTAAACATTCGTTTGTGTAAATAAAATAATTTAGACTTGTTTTAAAAAAATGACTGAGCTGTATAAATAATTTTGAGCAGATTACATTAAAGAAATAAAAAACGTTTCACCTCTGACATTCCCCCAGAGGAAGGATGGATATTTAGTGAATCAAAATGTGGCTTTGTTGGGATTGATTGACGGCCATTCTGGATATTAGCTGTTAGTTATTGATCAGTTTAACCCCTTGCGAGCCTGTGTGATTGCAATGAATAACTGTCACATTAACAAACTCCAGCCGTTATGTTACAGAGTTCTATAAATCCTGGGTTTAATTATCAAACAGCTAATTGTAGAAAGCTGAAAAATAAATTGTAAAATGTACAAGCTTGAGGCTGCTTCCCCACTTCACTTAAAATTACAGTTTGCAAGTCAGTTTTCTGCAGTTTGGTCCTAAATGAATAAACTCCACAGTGCAATGTATCATTTTTTTTAAAACCATTATTTTTATTAATTATTATTATTATTTTATTATTATTGCCATTTATATAGCGCCTACATATTCCTTATCGCTTTACAATATTATGGGGGGAATTTAACTATAAATAGGACAATTACAAGAAAACTTACAGGAACAATAGGTTGAAGAGGACCCTGCTCAAACAAGCTCACAGTCTGTGTTAGGTGGGGTATAAAACACAACATGACAGGGAGTAGCAATCAAATAAGGTGGGAGTGAAGCAGAGCTGGAGGAGAGAGTAGAGTGCTGCCCTTTAGGAGAGAGCAAGAGACAGGTATGTAAGGTAGAGGTAACTCTGGGAGGCCATAAGCTTTCCTAAAGAGATGGTTTTTAAGGCACTTCTTAAACGATTGAAGACTAGGGGAGAGTCTGATGGCGGTAGGCAGGCTATTCCATAGGAAGGGAGCCACCCGCGAGAAGTCCTGCAAGTTGGCCGTAGGGGTGCGAGCAGCGGACAGGAGGTGGTCACGGGCAGAGCTGAGGGAATGAGGAGGGGCATACCTATGGATCTGTGAAGAGATATAAGAGGGGCTTTATAGATATGGGTTAGTACTTTGAATTGACTCCTATAGGATACAGGAAGCCAATGTAAGGAATGGCAGAGGGGTGAGGGGTGAGGTGTGAGAGGAGCGACAGGAGAGGAAAATCAGTCTGGCAGCAGCGTTCATTACAGACGGTAGCGGGGCAATACAGCTTTTGGAAAGACCAATCAGGAGAGGGTTACAATAATCCATGCGTGAAATTACTAGAGCATGGACAAGCTCCTTGGTAGCATCTTGTGTAAGAAAGGGGCGGATGTGGGCTATGTTTTTAAGATGAAATCTACAGGATTTGACAACATACTGGATGTGAGGCTCAAAGGTGAGGCCAGAATCAAGTATGACACCAACACAGCGCGCATGCAAGGATGGAATGATTTGGGTACCACTAACATGAAGGGAGAGCGAGAGAGGAGGATCAGTATTAGGAGGAGGAAAGACAAGGAGCTCAGTTAAATCATAAACACTTTAAACACAAACAACTTAAACTGGGATTATATTCAGAGTGATGGTCAGCGCTAGATGGATATAACGCATTGTACAGCGCTACGGAATTTGCTGGCACTATATAAATAATAAATTAATAACATAATATTTCTTGTGTCAGTAGTGGAGCCATCGACCCATCTCACAATGTTGGTATTTGGGATTTAATGCTTGAACAGACGTCAGATGGAGCGTAATGTGGAAACGGGAGAACATACAGGTGATCTTATAAGTGGAATGATATTATATGGACTCGTTGGGTGGCAATCTCAATGTAGCCCCATGTAGCCAGAGCGCAGCTTAGTGAAAAAGGGCCTTGACAGGAGTTAGGAGGCGGGCATAGGAGGGACCAGTAGGTCTGTGGGATTATGGGATGGGGGTTGGCTATTTAATAAGCAGCCATTTTAAAATGTGCACATTAATTTCTGCCTAGCTGCGTTTGTGGTTGCCTCTGGTACTCACTGACCGGCTAGGTAGGGTTTTCTTTTGTCTCCTTTGCAGGGCCATGGAAGAGGTGGAGCGGCTCCTGGATGGGATTCGGGCGGCGGCGCGGCAACAGGGCCCAGGCTGGGCGAAGATTCACCTGGGACCCCTTCTGGCGGCGGCTGATGGCGGCGGCGGTCACCCGGCGCGGGCTAAGAGGCCTCCAAGGCGGTTGAGTCCGGGCGCGGGGCCCGTGACTCCCTCCACCAGCGGTGCTGCGGCCGTGGGAGAAGGCCGCGACAGGCCGGGAAGCCGCGCAGTCGAGGTATCACCTCCCGGCGGCCAGCCTGGGCCTCGGCAGACGGGCTCGCGGCGGGCTGCGGCCCTGGCGGCAGACGGCGCGCCCCCTGGTCCGGTCGGGGCGGCGCCGGGACCGGAGGAGGCGCAGGCGGTGAGGCGGCCCTGCCGGGAATCGGGCAGGCGGGCCGGGCGGGCTCTTCCAATGGCAGGAGCGGCGGACGGAGGAGAGCGGGCCGGAAAGGCACGGACCGGGCCCAGGGCGGAACAGGCAAGTGCAGGGGGCCCTCCTGGGGGTCCCCTTGGCGTGGGGCCCAGCTTCAGGGTGCAGCCTGGGGGTGGTAGGCGGGTGGCTTGGGGTGGGAGTAGTAGTGGGGCTCAGGTATCTGGGGGGGCTCTTCTGGAGGGGTTCAGAGTTGCTCTCAGGGCCACAGAGTGGGGGGGAGTGGGGGGGGCCCCGTGTTAGGGTTGCTGGGGGTATCGGGGGGGCCCTTGGAGTGCCTGGGAGATCAGCTGGTCGGGTAGGGAAGGTAGGTGTTGAGGTGGGTAAGGAAGGGGTTGGTCGGCAGGCGGTTGAGCGTAGGGGGCGGGGGGTGTCTGGGAGCCGGTCACAAGGGCGGGGGGGTACAGGGGTGGGGGGGGGCTATGAGGGCTCGGAGGCCGGGTCTAGTGGGTCAGGGGGTGGTGGGCCTGGTGACAGCTCCGGGTCGGGCTCAGGCAGCGTTGGTTCGTCACCTGTGAGGGACGCGAAGTCCCTCAGGGCGCGGGGGAGAAAGGGGGCCCGGCGCAGGCGCTCTCCCTCGGGAAGTTCAGTAGAGTCTAGGTCAGGGTCCTTGGGGCGGGGACGACAGGGGAGGGTGAGGAGGGTTGATGGTAGGAGTCGGAGTCCTCGGGGCGGGGGGGAGCTGGCTCAGGGGGGTCAGTGGGTGAGTGGCGCAAGACGGGAGGCCTTGGTGGCAGGCAGGCGCTCCCTGGGTCGGGACGGGAGGGGAGCCGGTGAGCACTACCCCCTGCCCAGGATGTCTTCTCCTCATTCTAGGTCTCTGAGCCGTTCATCGTCTATGTTTTCGAGGCACCAGGCGGGCGCCCTGGTTGGCGGGACGTCGGCGGATGTTGCGCATCCAGGTCAAGCAGCGGTTGACAGCGCAGCCCCGGGTACGGACGGATCGAGGGGCTTGGCCGGTGAGTCCAGTGGCCCTCTAGGGTCTAACACACTAGTTCACACACTTCAGTCACTGCTCCACTCATTGGGGGCGGGGGGTGGCACTTCGGGTGACGTAGGTCAGGTTTGGACGCGAGGGACCGGCGAGGCGGGGCATGGTAGCGGGGCTCCCGTGGTGACCGCGCCCAGCGGGGGGGCGGCGGTGGAGGCCAGTCCGGGTGAGGTGGGACGCGAGCGGGCGGAATTGTCGGGGGGCGTGTCGGACGCAGCTAGGCAACATGCGTACGTGTCATTCGCGGGCCCGCTGGGGGTGCACCTCAAGCAGGAGGCGAAAGAAAAAATTTGGAAGGGGGAGTTCTGTGAGATATTCTCCCTTCTTCCTCTGGAGGACTTCATTGACCTCAAAGAGGAGGATAAGAAGGACGAAAAGAAGGAGGAAGAGGAAAAGCGGAAGCGGTATCGGAAGATACCGAAGTCCTTCGGGAACTGGTTGAGGGCGTTCTGCGTCCTGGCCAGCGTGATAGGGGAGAAATCGCCGAGTTCTTGCTCTTCCTTATTCTGTTATTTGGACGGGATCTGGGAAGCGTACCGCACCTACGGCGGGCTGGCGTGGTGGCGGTACGACGAGCAGTTCCGGCAGCGCCTAGCAGCCAATCCGGGGATGAGGTGGGACCAAATGGACCTCCCCCTGTGGATGAAGCTGATGATGGCGCAGAAGGCTCAGCCCTTTCAGCACGCGGCTGGCGCAAAGGGACAGTCCGCCTCGTCGGCCGCCTTGCAGAAGGGCTTATGCTGGTCGTTCAATGAGGGTCAGTGCAAGTGGGGGACAGCCTGCCGCTTCAAGCATGAATGCGCGGGCTGTGGTGGGACTCACGGGCTACAGAGATGCTATAAGAAAGCTAAGTCGGGTGGAGCCGGAGCTCCCCCCGCGGCTGGGGGCAGTGGGACAGCATCTGCCCCGGGGCCTAACCCCGGTGAGGCTCGACGCGATGGAGCCTTGGCTAAGCCGCTACGGTAAAAAAGGGGACGCGGAGCTGCTTAGGTCGGGGTTTGGACAAGGGTTCTTCATCCCCTTCCAGGCGAGGGGGGGTTCGGTTTGTACGCGTAATCTGAAATCGGTGCGGGAATTTCCGGATGTCGTCCGGGAAAAGCTCAGTAAGGAGGTGCGGTTGGGCAGGATGGCGGGTCCATTCTCAGCCCCGCCGCTTGAGGGCCTTAGGGTGTCACCGCTGGGGGTGGTTCCCAAGAAGGAGAGCGGGAAGTTTCGGCTCATTCATCACCTGTCCTATCCTAAGGGTGCGTCGGTGAATGACGATATCGATGGGAACTTGTGCTCGGTCTCTTATGCATCATTCGACCAGGCGGTCGAGCTGGTTAAGAGGGCTGGGCGTGGGGCTTTGCTGGCCAAGGTGGATATCGAAGCTGCTTTTCGCTTGCTTCCGGTTCATCCGGCTTGTCACCATCTACTGGGGTGCTTCTTCGAGGGGGGTTACTTCGTCGACTTATGTCTCCCGATGGGCTGCTCCATTTCGTGCTCCTATTTTGAGAAGTTCAGTACCTTTCTCGAATGGGTGGTGCGGGTGGAGTCAGGGAGTGAAGCGGTGGTGCATTATTTGGATGACTTCCTCTGCGTGGGGCCGGCGGGTTCTCCCGCCTGCCTGCACCTGTTGCGGACGGTAGAGTGGGTGGCGGGCCACTTTGGGGTGCCATTGGCGGCGGACAAGACTGAGGGCCCGACCGAGTGCCTCAGCTTTCTGGGTTTGGAAATAGATTCGGTGCTCGGGGAATGCCGGCTGCCCCTGGCTAAGTTGGGCGGATTGCGTAATGCGGTGACCGCGGTGCAGCGGGCACGTAAAGTGACCCTGAGGCAGCTACAATCATTGATCGGGATGCTCAATTTTGCCTGTAAGGTGATACCTATGGGTAGGGTGTTCAGCCGCAGCCTGTCGGCAGCCACCGCAGGGGTCGGTTCTCCACATCATTTCGTTCGGGTCTCTTCCTCGATGAGGGCTGACCTGGACGTCTGGAAGGTCTTCTTGCAAGACTTTAACGGGACGGTGTTCTTCCGTCAGGAAAGTGTGTCCACGGCCGAATTGGAGCTGTTCACCGACGCATCGGGTAGCGTGGGTTTCGGGGCCTACTTCGGGGGGAGATGGTGCGCTCAGAGGTGGCCGGAGGCGTGGGGGCGAAGCCCCCTCATATGGAACTTGGCTTTTCTGGAGCTGTTCCCGTTGGTGGTGGCATTGGCCCTGTGGGGGGACCTGCTTCGCAACCGCAAGGTGGTCTTTTTCTCTGACAATATGTCGGTGGTGCACGCCGTCAATAACCAGTCGGCAGCATCCAAACCAGTGGTGAAGCTATTGCGGCGATTTGTCTTGCTGTGCATGTCCCTTAATGTAGTTTTTCGCGCGCGTCACGTGCCTGGGTATTTGAACGAGGTGGCTGATGCTCTATCTCGCTTTCAGTGGTCCCGGTTTTGGGCGGTGGCTCCGGAGGCTCAGGAGACAGGGCAGGCGTGCCCGGACGAGATGTGGCAGCTCGGAGCATCATGCTTGGAGGACTCGTAAGGGCTTCGCTGGCACCAACCACCTGGACCGCATACAGTAAGGTTTGGGGTGCCTGGGAACGTTCCTGGGAAGGGCTGGGCCAGGGGCCGCTGGTGGAAGCGTCGCATGACGCCTTCCTGTGGTTTACTTTTAATTTGCTGGCAAAAGGTGTGTCCCCCGCAATGGTTGATAGGACCATGGCGACGATGGCCTTTTGGTTTAAATTCCACGGGTGGGAGGACCTCACGAAGGCGTTTGTTATTCGGCAAGCTCTCAAAGGGTATCGGAGGGACCGGAGGGCGCCGGATGCTAGGCGCCCGGTCTCGGTTCAGGTACTTGGGAACTTACTCCGGGTGCTGCCCGGAATCTGCTTCGACGGGTTTGAGGTAGCCCTGTTCAGGGCAGCTTTTCTCTTGGCCTTCTTCGGGGCATTCCGGATAGGGGAATTGGTGAGCGCTACTCGGTCAGGGTCGGGGGGTCTGCAGGTATCCAGTGTTCGCATGCTAGCTGGGAATTTGGTAGTATACTTGGCTACGTCCAAAACGGACGTCATGGGTAAGGGCCGGGACGTGACGTTGGGTCCCCTGCCCGGGTCTTCTCTGTGCCCGGTTACGGCAGTGGCTCGGTTCTTGGAGTTGAGACCGGCAGTTGGGGGGTCTTTATTGGTTCATGCCGATGGCTCCTCGCTCTCTCGTTTTCAATTTTCTAAGGTGTTCCGATCGGGCCTGGGGGCGTTGGGGTTGAGTGCTGCTGCCTATGGGACTCATTCCTTTCGCATAGGGGCGGCCACCGAGGCCGCGCGCCTGGGCATGGGGGACGAGTTAGTCAAGAGGATCGGGAGATGGGAATCCGCTCGGTTCCGCACGTATGTGCGCTTGGGTTTGTTGGATCAGTGATGCGGGCTGTATTGGACAGGGGGTGGGCCCCGGTCTGGGTGTAGGTGTTTTACGCTGTTTTCCTTCTTCCCCAGGTTATGTCGCGTGGATTATGGGCCATTCCTTCATCGTCTGGGCCGGTCGGAGAGCTGCAGCTCGAGCACAGGGCCAACAGCTGGGCTTCCCAAAAGACCTCCTGACAGTGCGATGGCTGGGTTTTAAGGGATTTGGCTGGGGTGACGTGTGCGGGGTAATAATTCGGATGGTAACAGGCGGGGCGAGGCCGGATATGCTAATTCTACACGCAGGGGGCAATGATCTGGGCCTCATTCCGCAGCGTAGGCTGGTTAAATGGATGAAGCAGGACCTGAACAGGTTGTTCGATCTGCTTCCTGGGGTGATGCTGGTGTGGTCTGAGATCGTTCCGAGGCGTCGGTGGCGACACGCGAGGGATCCGGTGGCCATCGAAAGATGCAGGGGAAAGGTCAACAGCTTGATGGCAAGCTTCGTGAGGAAATTGGGGGGTGTGGTAGTGAGGCATGTAGAATTGGAAGGCGGGCTGCCAGGTTATTATCACACGGACGGTGTTCATCTCTCAGCGGTGGGTCTAGATTTGCTGAACTTGGGCTTGCAGGAAGGGATGCAGAGGGCTCTCTTTCTTCGGGGTGGCGGAGCTCGGTCGGCTTGAGGGGTCAAGGTCCGAGCTTGTGGCGGGATAGAGAGCTAGGGAAGGCAAAAATAGGCTCCCCATGAGGAACGTGAGGAACAGGAAGAATTGTGGTCACTGGTGGATGGTGGGTTTCGAGTCCTGGAGGTGGCTCAGAACCTGGTGGGGTAGGGGTATCTGGGTATGCCCCTACCGTGGTTACTTATGGTTGGCACTTAAGTCGGTTCATGTTGGACTGAGGTTAAATCGTTATTTATATATATTTATGTGTTTCTGATGTTGGGTCATTGCCCTGATATTTAATGAAGGTATAGATGCGAGGGCGGAGTATGGGGGCAATGACCCATGTTTTATATATATGTTAATTATTAGTATCGTTACTATGTTTGTTAATAAAGCTGTGGACTATTTTTCCCATATCCCGGTGTCAGCGTGTTATTGGGGATAGGTATCTGGGGTGGTTGTTGTCAAGGTTCCGACTGCCCATATGGCGACTATACACCAGTCATGAATGGTTCATTTTTACAGCAACAATTGGCAGCAGTTCAACGTCATAGAGTTAGAGGTGTGATATATTTTACAACTTTTACCTGAATATTAAATACACTTGTGTTTATTTAACTGTTATGTGAAGTTAAATGTTGGACTGATCGAACCAGCGTTGACCTCCTCCTCTCTATGCCATGTTTTACATTTCTTACATATTCTTATGCCATTTATCTTTTGTTTACGATTTAATTTATATAATATTATAATAATAATACCATATTAAAGAATTTGGTGATCCGCAGAGCTGACACTTCAATGGCTGCAACAATGGCTCTCAGAGCATCATAGGAAACATAGACCGCAAACATCTGCCCCTTAATTAACCTTAATGGTTGTCTGTAAAGTAGTTATGGTGCCAGGAGTCTTTGGGTGCAGTCACTCTGTTTTTTCCAAATCCTTGGACTTTGAGAGCTGGAATAGATCCTTTATCTTTTAAAAAACATTCTGACTAAAACAAAGCGATAGCACCGAAAGACTCCTTGTACCATAACCACTTAACGTATGATAATGCAATAAGCTCTAAATTACACTAAGTGCTAAAAGTGCTAAATTTATAAACCAGGAGAACTATAATATAATAACAACATTCTACGAATTATTTTTTTTTAAATGACAAAAGTCAGAATTTAATATTTGTAAAGTGGTATCTCTATATGTACTTATCTAATAAATTATTATATTTCCTAGTTAATAAAGTTAAGAGTGCAATGTATATAAAGTTTGACAGCATTTTGTGAAATCCTGATATTAAAATGTACTTGTTGGATGATGCGAACGCTGCATTACTCGTTCGGGGAGATATTTCCAAGTCTAAGAATTATGACACTTTCATTTGATTTGTGATGTGTATGATGTCTCAACGATCATCTAAAATAATTTCTCTAAATCATTAGGCTCTGGGACGTTGGGAGGAAGCTCTGCAGACGGCTGGCATGGTGCTCCCAGGAATTAGCGGAGTATTTTATTAGCTGAGAGCCCTCCGTGGTTTCAGGCACGATTAGACAGTACTGACAACATTTGGGAGGCAGGACCTTTTCAGAACGGCCATTGGAAAATTTTAAGGCAAGACATCTGTGGTCAGAGGATCGCTACCAGTGACAAATAAATAATATTCTAACATTAGGTCTGTCAGCACACTAAATGTAGAACCATTTCTTTCAGTCTGGCCCCCTGGCAAGCCCATCAAAGGTTAACAGATATGATGAGCTGGGTTTGTGCTAGGTCTGTCCCTCGCCCGTGGTAGAAATAACACAGGTACGCAAATGCTGAGGTAACATCAAGCATCCCAGCAATATACAGAAACAGAAAGTACAACAGAAACAAGATGGAGAGAGGGAAAATGCATGGCATTATGTCTGGACCTCACAGAAACACTCATTGGGCAGCTTCTCGACTTCATTTGCTGTGTGAGAAAAAAAAAAAAAACATTATACTGAGCAAAGTCTTGCAGTTTAAGAGCATAATAGCCACCAGTAGCCATCCATGTAAATGGATCATGTAACCCACATACTATTAGCAAAGCCAGAACTTCCAAAAAAGGAAAAAAGAGAGATAAGAGTATGAAGTATAACCAGAAGGCAAGAGAGGAGGATAGCGGGTCCTACGCATTCTGCAAGTCAGCGGAGTCCTGTAGCCCCAAGGAGCCAAAGCACAGCTTAGCGGAGGAGGGCCTTGACAGGGGTTAGGAGGCGGGCTTAGGAGGAGCAGGCCAGGACTGGTGGGTTGTGGGAGTAAGGAGTTGGTCTACTTAAGTAGGCAGCCATTTTGGATAGAGCACATTTAATTTCTTACCTGGCTGAGTTTGTCCCACCCACCCTCCCTGGGTTTTTGAGATAAGTGATGGTATCCCGTTTTGTCACAGCGGCGGGATAGGGAGCAGAGGAAGAGGAAATAGGCTCCCATGAGGAACGTCACGGACATGGAAATTGTGGTCACTGGTGGTTGGTAGGTTTCGAGTCCTGGAGGTGGCTCAGAACCTGGTGGGGTAGGGGTATCCGGGTATACCCCTGCCGTGGTTATTTATGGTTGGCACTTAAATTGTTATGTTGGTGTAAGGTTGCAAATTGTTAGAGATATATATGTGTTAGTATGTTGGGGTCATTGCCCGTCATATTAAAAGAAGGATGCGGATGCGAGGGCGGAGTATGGGGGCAATGACCCATGTTTATATGTTAAATTATTATTATATTATTATAATTGTTATTACTAATAAACTTATTATCTTTATTATTATAATGGTTAATAAAAGCTGTGGACAATTTTACCCATATACCCTAGTGTCAGTGTGTTATTGGGTTAGGTATGTGGGGGTTTTGTCCTAGGTTCCGACTGCCCATATGGCGACTATACACCAGTTATGCTCATTCTACAAGTCAGCGGGGTCCTCTGTATTATCCAAATCAGCAGGGTCCTCTGTATTATCCAAATCAGCGGGGTCCTGTTTATTCTACAAGTCAGCGGGGTCCTCTGTATTATCCAAATCAGCGGGGTCCTGTTTATTCTACAAGTCAGCGGAGTCCTGCTCATTCTACAAGTCAGCGGGGTCCTCTGTATTATCCAAATCAGCGGGTCCTGCTTATTCTACAAGTCAGCGGGGTCCTCTGTATTATCCAAATCAGCAGGTCCTGCTTATTCTACAAGTCAGCGGAGTCCTGCTCATTCTACAAGTCAGCAGAGTCCTGCTCATTCTACAAGTCAGCGGGGTCCTCTGTATTATCCAAATCAGCAGGGTCCTGCTCATTCTACAAGTCAGCGGGGTCCTCTGTATTATCCAAATCAGCGGGTCCTGCTTATTCTACAAGTCAGCGGGGTCCTCTGTATTATCCAAATCAGCAGGTCCTGCTTATTCTACAAGTCAGCGGAGTCCTGCTCATTCTACAAGTCAGCAGAGTCCTGCTCATTCTACAAGTCAGCGGGGTCCTCTGTATTATCCAAATCAGCAGGGTCCTGCTCATTCTACAAGTCAGCGGGGTCCTCTGTATTATCCAAATCAGCGGGTCCTGCTTATTCTACAAGTCAGCGGGGTCCTCTGTATTATCCAAATCAGCAGGTCCTGCTTATTCTACAAGTCAGAGGAGTCCTGCTCATTCTACAAGTCAGCGGAGTCCTGCTCATTCTACAAGTCAGCGGGGTCCTCTGTATTATCCAAATCAGCAGGGTCCTACTTATTCTACAAGTCAGTGGGGTCCTCTGTATTATCTAAATCAGCGGGGTCCTGCTTATTCTACAAGTCAGCAGAGTCCTGCTCATTCTACAAGTCAGCCGGGTCCTCTGTATTATCCAAATCAGCGGGGTCCTGCTTATTCTACAAGTCAGTGGGGTCCTGCTCATTTTACAAGTCAGCGGGGTCCTGTGCAATCTGCATGTCAGCTGGGTCCTGCTCATTCTACAAGTCAGTGGTGTACTGTGCATTTTACAAGTTAGCGGGCTCCTGTGCATTCTGCAAGTCAGCACGGTCCTGTGCATTCTGCAAGTCATTAGGGTTCTGCACATTTTACAAGTCAGTGGTGTCCTGCACATTCTAATAGTCAGTGAAGTCCTGTGCATTTTACAAGTCAGTGGGGATGGAACCACTGCTGCTCCACCAGTAGTCCAGACTTAACTTGTTGATGGACCTACTACTGTCCCACAAATAGGCTGGTACCTAACCTGTTGATGGACCCAATGCTGCCCCACCAATAGGCTGGCTCTTGACCTGTTGATGGACCCACTGATGTCTCACCAATAGGCCGGCCCCTGACATGTTCATGGACCTACTGATGTCTTACCAATAGGCCAGCCCCTGACATATTTATGGACCTACTGATGTCTCACCAATAGGCCGGCTCCTGACATGTTCATGTCTCACCAATAGTCCAGCCCTTGACATATTCATGGACCTACTGATGTCTCACCAATAGGCTGGCCCCCGACATGTTCATTGACCTACTGTCCAGCCCCTGACATATTCATGGACCTACTGCTGCCCAAACAATAGTTTGGCCATTGACTTGCTAAGGGAGCTGTTACTGTTACAAATATCATGCAGTGTCGATTGACCAAGCACTGAACGTGATAGCCACCCATGTTGCAGTAAACCCTGTTTATCCAGCTTGATGCTGCAATTTAGATTCACAGTATAATAGTATTCTTTATCACTTTTATACCTCCACTTTGTTTTGGGATAATAACCTCACAATAATGAGAACGCTCATTCAACCAATTAACTGTCATCAAAATGCATTTTTTGCCGATTGTGAAGCCACAAACCAATGAGTTTCTGTGTTTGGGTCCTACAAACCCCGCGCCCACATTTGTTTAGTGTTTCCAAGTTGTATAAAACCACTGAGCTCTGGTGTCAAACTATTTCTTCATTTTATCCCTGTCATTATCCCACCATATTTAGATAAGGAAACTCAAGCAAATGATTTAATTCCTACGTGGCCGTTACCAGCTCTCTTAAAGTTAATGTTTTAATTGCCTGATTTGAATAATATCCAGACATCTATGCTGTTCACTTTTATTTTCTTTCTCTCGTATTAACATCCCACACAAGGAAAGACAAAAGGACAAGCAAGGCTTTCTCCTTCCACCTCTAACCCCCCCCCACAACCCCTGAGGTTTTGTTTCATTTTAATGTATTTAAATGAATGCCTTGGAAATTACAAGCCAACAGGAGCGGCGATGAGAATATTGAGCAACACGAATAGGCTGGAATGGACCTCTCTCGAGCAACATGGGGATTCAAAGATATTCCTTCTTTTTTTGTTTTTTTGTTCATGCAAATTGTTTTACTAGTTAATTTATTTTCAGTTCATGGAGCTTCGAGACCTCCACCTCCAAGAGAGACGCTCTTATTGAAAAAGAGACTTAGCAAGTATGAAATTACAGGAAGGACTGTATTCTATATCCTAATGACTCGGTCATATAGAATTACATTATTGTGGAGTGAGATTCAAAAATAACCCTTTCCAGACACAATCAGCATTTACCCCAAGTTAGCAAAGTATAATCACAGTGACCTGGAGAATATGTTTTATGACGGCTCTTCATTCACCTGGATTGACTGGATTGTCCCAAGATGACTAATGAAGAGTTTACTTGGCTACAGAAACATTAATTAAACACGTTCAAAAAAAGCTTGTCCACCCATGACAAATCATCAGACCTCACTTGAAAAATCGCCCTTTTTTTTATAGTATTTGCATATTTTAGCTCCAGTAATATTTTGAGATTTATTTTCAGAAATGAAGAGTTTTCAGAGAAAACGTTTACATTCCACTGGATTAGAGGACACGGCTCGAGGTCTTCCACTAACGAGACCCCACATTGATTTCCTCATAATCTGTCAATCACAGCAACATAATGTCTGGCTGTCCTAGACTCGTATTATTTTACTCAGACCCAGAACATCACTGTTTGTTACTAGAGCTTATGTAAGGGAAGGCTTTCAACTTGGAAAACCTGCCAAGGATAACACGTTTTGTGCGTCTGTTTGTGCGTGTGTGTGTGTGAGAATGTGTGCATGCATGTTTCTACCAACTACAAATATTTGCCAGCATCTCCACCTGGTGTTTAGTAAATACAGCCTCTGGGGCAAATCACTGGAAATGGGAGAGATTAAATTATGTTTGTACGGTGACACACACAGCTAATTACAACCTGCAGACAACAATGTATCGAGATTCCAGCACACTCACTATCTGAAAATCCACTGCAATGACCCTTCATCCAAGAATATCAATAATGACTGACGCCATTAGATATGTCGCCAATGAGAATAGAACAATTCATGAATACTAACACAGCATTAATATTAAGATAGTCATCCGATCAATCTGCAGACGCAGTGAATTTACTAGAAAATGAAGATTTAAACAAACAATGAACATTCGTCTTAACACACCACCTCTGTTTGTCCAGATCACACACATAGCATTCTTATTAGCAATTATTCTATCATCTCACCTCTATTCACCTTCTATTTATATCACATTTTAAAATGATTTAATTAATAAAATCTGCATAAAACACTAACGTTCATCAGCACAAATATCTGTGACCCGCTATATTAATCATTTCTGTAGACCGGCCCCGCAGATCTGTTCTTTAAATTCTATTCTAGCTGCGTAGACGGGGCCGGACATTTTTGGGTTTTCCTGTTGCATCATTATTTCTTAGCTGAAAAGGCTGATGCCATAAATTTAGTTTTTGCCTCATCGAAGGCTGCTACAGAGCTCGAGGCAGGATGCTCGGAGGTTGCTCCCATTTCCAATCACTGGAGACAGTGATTAATACACAGTCATTTCACAGAATGGCCAATTGCCAGCTAATCATTTAGTAATTAGGACGCCAATCAGTGCGGCTAGCTCCAACTGCTCATGTTGTTATCGCCATCTAATTGCCTGGATAGACCCTAATCTATTATAGATTATATGGAATAAGCATCGTAATTAATGGACCTTTATTTTCATGAGGAGGTCCAGACTAAAACACTCAACTTTAATAACATTTCCAGGAGAATAACCAGGATTAACCTCTTCAGCACCAGACGGCGGGGGCTGTTTGGTTGGTATAATTCATTTATGTGGATTTAATCAACTCACATAAAGTGACCGACAAATACAAGAAACGTCACAATAAGCAGATTTATAAAGAATTTTTTGTTTGTTTTTTGAGAAGGTGGCAGCTTCCTGTCGGCGTGGGCAGATTTTAAGGCCTTTTTGCATCGAATGCTGGAAATAAGCAAACTGTGAACATTTTTTGTTTATTTTGAACCCAGACCTTGCTGTTATTTAAAAGGTGTAGTGTTTCGTTATTGCTGTACGTACGTTTTCCTTAAAAAAAACCCTTCCTTTTAGTTCTTGAAAACAACCCAAAATAACCTACACGTCAAGTTAAAGATATGCTAAAAAAGCAAGCTAGGTTTCATTTTGGCGGCATTACGTTCCAGTGAAGATTTCAAAGATTTGGTTTCTCTTAATTAAATTAATCTCCCCTTACTTTGAGTATCGAGTAAGCGCTTCACTTTTATTACCTTGTTTTGTTGTCCAAATCTGAATGGCTGTGATCATCGTAACATTTAAATTAAGTCCACACCTTATATATCAGCCAAATATCACAACCCTTGCATGAAACCCAGTTTATATGTTGTTTTAT